TCTTCGTACAAAGCTAAGTTTGAAGAGAAAGGAGGGAGGTATTAGGAAGGTTTTTCAGTACAAGAGGTTTAGTTAAATTACAACCTTTATTAACTGTTAAAAGGGACTAGATTACTGGTGCTTGCCTACGTTAAAACGGATCTGTAGAACTTGCTTTTCAGGAATATCTGAAGTGAACTGTTAAAATTTTCTTATGAATAAATTTAAATAGATTACACAAAAAGATCTCCATTCTATGCAAGTCTAAAGCAATCTGCTATGAAAAAAGCTGTGCCAGCTGCTATGTTCTTAATCTTTTACTTTTCTTCCTACTATCTCTAGTAAGATATATTAGTAATCTTAGTTTTTCTTTTCACTTATTTTCCAATTTTAAAATTACTTCATGGATAGCAACCATTATGTTACCATTATTGCACAGTACTGCAACCTGTGAAATACCTGAATGTCTCTCATTAGATGAAACTGAAAAAAAACTCTGACCTTCCATCCTCCAGAACTACTTATTCCAACAAGTCATTTAAGCTGTTAAGAACCACGTCAATGTAATGGAATTGTTTGCATTTTACGGAAATTCCCAAGACTAAACTTAAATCTCTGACTAAGGCCACAGAAATGTTGCTGGTTCTTCCCTTCCCACTCCTGCTTCCCACCATCACCGGCAAGCAGTAACTGTGGGGTCCTTGATCTCACCTTTGATAGTTTCCATAGGGGCTTTTTGCAGTTGTCTCCAGATACAGCTAAAAGATGGACTGAGGTAGTAATCTGGGAAACATATGAAATTTTCTTTGATTCCTAAAGAGACACCAAAGGTACCTGCGTGAGAACCAAGAAAGAAGGACTGGAGAATCTGGGCATACCTGAAACACCAGTTACGCTACCCTTCATGACTACAGCTGTGAAGCAAGAACCTAACTACTAATGCAGAACAACTTGTTCCAACTAATGTTGTTAAGACATGTGGATTTGTGAGGGAAGAATAAAAAGGTCCAGCTGAGAACCCAAACTTGTGGTACCACTTCGTCCTAGTTACCTCAGGCCACCTAGAAGCAACCATGGAATTTACATCCAGGACTTGATATAACTGGTATTACTCTTATCTATTATTTCTGTGGGATAAAAGAAGTGGTTATTGTATTGCCAGTGATGCTGGCACTGTGAGAAAAAAATGCTCATGAAGTAGTGTAAACTACTGAATAGTAGTAAGAGAATAAGGCAGCTTTGGAGTAAGATGTGAGCTTAAGGAGACAAAGAAGAGGTGAAGCAGCAACACCTCTTGTATTGCAGTATTAATTGCTGGACTAAAGGGAGAGAGAAATGGAGATTTAGATATTCTGGAGAGAAATGGTTGGGCTAAGAAGGACAGAGCTTGAAAGTGTGTTTTATCAAAAGGAAAGAAACAGGGATTAGAAGAAAAAGAGAGGTAGGATATCTTGCCTTTAATAAAAACAGGAGGGAGAAAAAAAAACTGAAGGACAAATTGCCCAAAGGCTATACTTGCTGAGGTCCAATTAAGTACTGGACAGGGAATGGCCAGGCATCAATGTCATCATGAGGAGCCTAAGCATCCCAGACAGCATGTAGAGAGTTTTTTTTAGTGAGACTGGGACACATGAAACTCCTCAACAGAACTTGAATGTCTCCAGCATTTTGATGAAATGTTTTGAGGGAAAAAAAAATGGTGTTAATCTTGGAAAGAATTGTGCAAAGAATCTCCAGTTCTCTTTTATAACTTGATTAACCTGGAAAGACTTGAACAAGCAGAAATTGCCTGTGTCATTTTTCCACAAATGTTAGCTCAGCAAGTCTAAACTTTTAAAAATATTGAGAGTAGAACAAGTGCTTCATAAAGATAACTTTTATCACCCTTTGAGATCAGGGTAAAGAGTTAAAGTTGACTATGTCCTTTACAACTGGCCATAAGTGAAATAGAAAAATGGTTTGCAGAAACTTGTTCTGATTTACAAATATGGAGCAAAACAAACTAGCCGGGGCAGAAGCTAGGTAATGTAGAGACTTCCGGAATCATTGACACACATTGAAACATTGAAGCTTTTTTTTGGGGGGGGGAGGGGGCATAACTGTAGTTTTTTAGAGGGTTAACTGTAGTTTGCATGTACCAATGGTGCATAAGTACTTGTTGGGACAAGAACCAGGAAGTCTTTGTGAGTACGTGTAAAACATTAGCAAAGCTAGATTACACAAGGTATTGCCTTGAGTCCCTTGAGGCAGGGTGCATGTATTAAAGCTCCCGCAGATTTGAATGCAGACTGCAGGTAGCAGCTAGTAAAGGAACAAACTTTGAAAAAGAATTCAAGTAGCATTTTACTGAAAATATATGACTTTATGACAGGTCAGGAGAAGTTGTGTATATATGTGTATATGTGTTTGTAAAATATGTCTATCTGTGTTTGCAAAATATCCAGTCTTTCCCAAAACTTGGGGAACAGAAGGATAAAACATTTTCAAAAGTCAATGGGGTCTTCACTTTTTAACAGCAGAAGACTTCATGTACAATTGGCTAACAGCTCAGCTTTTATTTATACTCACAGAAGTTAGTTAAATATAGGGCACAATTGACTACAAGATTTATGCAAATTATTTTAATTTATATAAAAATTAAAAAAGTTATATCAAAGTAAAACCAAGGACATTTCAAACCATCATTGGATAGTATATTTGCAAATAAACCAAAGGAGCTACTAAGTCATACCATATACAATATTCAGTCATTAGTATGGTACCTAAAAGAGGTTGGCCTGACGTTCTCAGGTTGCTCCCAGGTATGTGGGCATTAGTCCCACGCTGAGCAGAAGCCTAGTCAGGATGACTACCAGAAGCAGTTTTCTGAAAGTGACAGAAAGTCTTCCAAAAACCAGGGCAGTGCGGTAAGGAAAATTAACTTTGGAAACGGCATAAGGCAGGATCCAGCCGAACTGGCTCTCGGAGTGATTGAATATGACATAAAATGAAAGACAAGCCTACTTGCAGGAAGGCCCATTTTGTAACACTTGGTGTAATCATAATTACCATAATGAGGCAACGATTAAAAAGCTCCCACTAAACAGGGTGGCAGTATCGGTGGATTTGGAGAATAACACTAAAACATTATGACATGGCTATGGCTGGTAGTAACTAAAATAGCAGATTCCCCCTGAAGAGGCAAGAAAGGCAGCTAAGGGAGGGAAAATTCCTCAAGACAACAGCAGGTTATTTGGGTCCCTCTGTGATCCTGTTTTTCACAGTAGCACCTTGGTGCCTTGTGCATAAGTAGACCTCAAGCCTCCTGCCTCAACGTGTTAGGGTTGAAAGGAACTTTTTAAAGACAGCTATAGGAGAACAACAGTAGGGGAAGCAAAACTGCACCATGTCTGTGCGTCAGCTGCAGCCTCAGGGGAGCAGCTGGGGAGCCCAGTGAGCTGTTGCTTGTTGAACACACTTGCTCATGCCCTGTGGCCCGCAACCAGGGTGGGATGGGCACCTCCAGGGGAAGGAGGACACCAGGAGATACCACCACTGATCACGAGGCACTGCCAAGTGGCAGTGCTTTGCATCCTGCCTTGAGCCTGTCTTGGATCTCACATATTATTTTACTTTTTAGCGTTAGCTGGCAGCTCTGTCTTGTAAGATTCCCCCTGAATTCCAATAAATTTCCTTTTGCATGGGATAAATCCTACAGTTGGCAAGAGATTGCCACAGTACATCACTAGGAGTCCTGTCACTTGGTCATACGGTTCTGTTTGGATGGTTAGGAAAAACTTCTGCATGGAGAGAGTGCTGAAGCACTGGAACAGGCTGCCCGGGGAGCCTTGGAGCCCCCATCCCTGGCAGCGTTAAAACACGTGTAGACGAGGTGCTTAGGGACATGGTTTAGCGGGCTTGGTGGCGGTGGCAGCTTTATGGTTGGACTCGATTACCTTGGAGGTCTTTTCCCGCCATATTGACTGTACGCGCGGCC